ACAGTATAATTACAGTCAATTAAAATTAAATATATACACCACCACACCACAGGCAACCAAACAAAGCAAGCAGAGTTTTGTAGCTGAAAAGTCAGAATTGCCAAAGATTCTACAGAATCCATTAGAGACTTTACTATCACTATTAATTTTATATGGAAGGAATGTTTCAGAGATGAGAAGCCACATAAAACCTTAAGATATATCAAAACTCAGCTACAGTTTAAAGAAGTAAGCAAAGTTAATTTTGTGACACACCATCTTTGCCTTCCAATCGAGTTTGTTTTCACTTACTGTTTCACAAAAGTCAGAAACCTCCAGCAAGCCCAATTGTCTTTTGTGCAAATTACTGATCTGCTATAGACCAAAAAAAAAAACAACCCAGCTGGTTTTCTGAATGGACTTAAGTGCAACTACTGTATATTACAAGTGGCAAAAACCTGCAGTACAGTTACACATAAGTCCATTAATAAACCAATGTAGCTTAAAAACATAACTTACTAAACTAACCCAAGCATCACAGCTGATTTGGTAACTCAAAGTAAAACCTGGGCACAGGTACCATCCTCATATCTCCCACACCACCAGATGTATAAAGGTAGTCAAATAGCTTGCATCATTCTTATCCTAGATTCAGTTTTGCCACATCTTTAAAGTTCAAGTGGCACTTTATCCACTATCATACTATGGAGCATGCTTCCTATTCCTTTGCCCTGTGGTAGCCAAAAAAATGCTTTTTTGGGTAGCCCATTGTACAACATGTTTAAAGATATCTCAAATATGCCTCTCTCAGGTACTGCTTATGCTATTGTAGGTAACTGTACCATTCTAGAAACTGCACTGAAATCTTTTGAGAATTATAGATCACACATAGAAATAAAAAGACAGCCAACAGGCTATTCAAATAATTGAGAGAGAAAAATTGGGGGAGGTGAAATCAACTCAACCTTTAAATGATCTTTTCAGGATTTGCAAGGAATTAGAAAAGAAACAACATTTGGTGTTGAAGAAAATGCTGAAGAGCCCTTGCAAATTTAGCTCTTCATTTTTCAAATTTCCTGTGCACTTATTAAAACTGCCTAAAAATCAAACTATTTATTCCAGGCTGACTTTTTCAGTTTCTAGCCAAAACTTAGAAGTTTGTTCCCAAGACACAAATCGTTCTGGTTGACCCCAAACCATGTTACAGGTGAAAAAATCTGTTTGACCAAAAAAATTTGCCCAAGCCTAAAAACTAATATAACCGTCAGATCTAATGTGCTATATTAAGACTAATATCACCCAGCACATACTAGTAGACATATTATCCAGCTGTAGCTTCCAAGTGATTTAAAAGTCTGCTGCTGCAGTACCATCTCAAGCAGACACTGAGGTGCAAGATCTCATATGTAACCTAATCAACCATAACTTATAGGTAGGGTTCTCCATAAGAACTACAATGACTGGGCAAAAACAATTGCATGAATAGCTTATTCATCCAGAAATACGGTTTGGGGTTGACACAATATTTATGAATTAGCACCAAACCCAGTCAAAAAGTTGAAATTTTTCAATACAAAACATTTAAACTCTTCTGAAATAGCTTTGGCTGAGACTTTTATGTCAAATAATATTTCATGAACATATTTATTTAAATTACATTTTCAAATCAGGTTAAAAAAATACCACAAAACCTCATAATTAAACTTTTCATTTTGGGTTCCAGGAAGTGTAGTGTTTGACCTAAAATAAAATATCCTCCCCACTTCTTTGTAGTTTGGCAGTTCCACCAGAAAAGTGAAAAAAAAATCATTCACTTACAGAGCTGTATTCATGATGTCCTGATTACTTGCCTTCTACAAGCTGTGAAGTCTGTATCTATACTCTGCAGGAACTCCAGCTTCATACATGTCAGTACCTTCTTCCTAGCTGTATATTTTGTTAATGCCCTCTTAGTTTTGAAACCTCGCAGCCAAGTTATTATATGCAACTATGTGCTGACATGAATTATGTTTGGGGCCTGTGAACGGAACATTCATTCACCAACATGTTGACCTTTCTACTGGCACCAGACTGTTAGCCCCTCTGAGTGCTATGGTAAACCCACTGAGAAACATGTATTATAAAAATGTGTTTGCTGCTTTAAAATTTAAGGACCAAGTGAGAGGAGACTAAATGTTGTTTTACACAGACCTTTTTTTATACACTATTTTTGGGCCTTGAGATCCATCTATATCAAAAGCAGTTTACATTAGACAAAAGACAACAACTCTATGACAAGTGAAAACACCAAAAAAGCATAGCTTTGCTGTAAGCAACACAGTCTAGGTTTAGGTGAGCTCATGATGTAAGAAACTGAGAATGGAGAAAACACATTTCTTGTCCATAAAAGGACAGGTCACACATCCACAGAGGGCAGCACTGATTTTGCTACAGTTCCAAAGTATGAAAGAGAGAATCACTATTGCTAAAGGGAGTTTCATTTAAAATTGGCTGGGAATTTTGCAACATTTTTAAATGGAAAATGGTGATTTGTTAAAACAACTTCCTGAAGAGATTTGCATTGGGAAAACCAGAAGGATACAGCATATTCACCCTAGCATAGCCAATGGCTGTGAAACCCAGATTCAAGTGTCTGCTGTGACTGATAATAGAGCATGAACTTCATTGGCATCTCCCACATTGTAGACAAATGCCCTAATCTGTCATGTTGCCTGTATGCATATACCCTATATATCTCATATAGCCTGTTTTTCTCAGGCCCAACTATTCTTCAGTGAAAGTTTCATAAAACTCATATTCAAAACCCTACCCCCCTCAGTTTTGATGCCTTGGTACTCACAGTTAATATGTCAGTACTGTCTGTCTGGTAATCCAGAAATTACCAGACTGCTCTAATTATAAACATAGAGCAGTGCATACATTTAAACATGCTCATATAAAATGCAAAGCACAACAGTACACTTTATGCTTAATTCTTCTCCTCCAAAGAAGGAAGCAGGGAGAAGTTAGTCACTTCTCACAATGCATTAAGAACCTATATAAGATACTTAGGCACCTGCCCTATTGTAAGTGAGAGGAGCCAAAGTTTAGACTACTAGGGCTCATCCAGATGAGCATGCACACGTGGTTTGAAGCATCTCAAAGCTGTCTGAGGTGCCACAGACTGACACATGGAGAGCCCAGTATTAAAAAAAAACACCACCAAGAAAAAGCAGCGCAGCATATGCAGCAGCAGCATATGTCACCAAAAACAGAGCCTGGCTGGCCAGAACCATACTCTGGCTGCCAGCCAGGCTCCAAACAGCTGGCTCAGTGCCACTGATGCCCCAGGAGGCCCCCAGAACCCCAGGTAAGGCTGCTGGGACCAGCATGGATGCTGGACGCAGCCTCCCCTAAGCCACACAGGTCAAATTGCCACATGCTGGAGCATGCATGCCGGGGCATGCCCTGGGACAAAAGGCAGCTGCACAAATATGTGCCACTGCTATCTGTCCCACAGGAAATGCATGCTTGTCTGCACATGACCCTAGTTTTTTAAATCTTGACACTTACTGCACGTGGAAAAATATTAGCAAGTGTCTTAGTTTTCATGGGCTTGGGGTGTAGGGATCCTCACCACTCCTCTTGAAGGCAGGTTTGTACTGGGTGCATCTACACAAGACGCTACAGTGATGTAGCTTGTTGCTACAGCAATGTAGTATTGGCAGGCACAAATTGTGACATTGCCACTACTGTGAAGTCGTAATGAGTTACTGTGCAGCAGCTTGTTGCTACCGCACAGTAGGGTCAGAAATGACCCGTGCGGCACCAGGACTGCACAGTACCACCGGTGCTAAAGCAAGTACTAAATGGCTGTGCAATAAGAACTTCACAGTCATGTGCACGTGTAGACATGCCCACAGTGAAGAGAAACATAAAATAAACCACAATAGAACATCCCATTTTTTCACTCACATTTCATACTGCATTTTTCAGGTTAAATGACTGCTTTTCAAAATTCAGAGGATAAGAAACCCCTTTTGCCTGACTGCATCCCTGTTTCTGGAGAACACTTTCCCAAATAAGAGGTCACTGGGGCACAAAGAGGGACAGTTTTGTCAACTGAAACACCACTATTAATATTTTAGTATACTGTACTGACCTGCACCCTGAGATGTGGCCCTGATTGAGCCAGATCTTCGACCTGCTAGGCTTTAGTGGACTTAGGCACCTAAATATGATTCTCTCCTATGCTGCTCAAGTCCCTGATAAACAATTAATGCAGATGGTTCCTGGTTTCTCCACACCAGTTTTAAAGGTAGGATGGTAGTTATTACAAAAGTAGATGCCATAACAGGTTTTCAGGGACTTGAGCAGGTTGGAATACTGGGCACCCAATAAGTGGAGCAGAAGCTGGCCCACTGTGTTCAAAACAGTTCTTATGAAATGCAGTTATACAGTGGCTTCTTAAAGCTGTCTCTTAAAATTTTCATTATTTCAAGTCATTGTTCAGTGGCTTGTCCAAATTGTTACCTATTACTCTTGTTTTATAGAGTGGCAAACTTGAGCGGTCCTCATAGAGTCAATGAGGCTTATTACAGTCGATGGAATTTACCCAGTGTTCCTCTCTCTCCCTGTTAGCTTCCACAGTGCAACTCACTTCACAGAATTAGGCAACTCTTCTAGCAGGGAAATCACCAGGCACCCTGACTCTGCTTGCCCTGGCTCTGCTTTTCAGACAACAGTGAAATGTCTCTATCAAGAGAGGATCTTGCAGGCATACTTGTCCTCTCAGTGTGGGACTAAAAACTATCAAAGCCACCCCTGCCTAAAGAGAGGAAAACTAGATGACACTGATAACAAAGGATTGGGAAGTAGTATATTTCATAAAATGTAATTAAATATTTGAAATATCTTGAAAAAATACACAGTCTAACATCTGTAAGACTAGTTAAAACAAGAAATCAGAACTCTCATGTTGATCATACCTAATCAACGTACTAATTTCAGTGGCTCCAGTTTAACACTGTGTTTCTTTTCAGATCTTACAGGTGAACAAGGTGATGTCCATCTTGTTTTATGTGATATTTCTTGCTTATCTTCGTGGCATCCAGTCTACCAACATGGATCAAAGGAGTTTGCCAGAAGATTCAATAAATTCTCTCATTATTAAACTCATTCAGGCAGACATTTTGAAAAACAAGCTCTCCAAGCAGATGGTAGATATTAAGGAAAACTATCAAAACACAGTGCAGAAAGAAGAGGCTCAGCAGGATATGGACGGAGCTGAAAATGTGAAATCAGACTTCCAGCCAGTTATCTCAATGGATACAGAATTGTTAAGGCAACAGAGACGCTATAATTCTCCCAGGGTCCTCTTGAGTGATAACACCCCATTGGAACCCCCGCCTTTGTATCTCATGGAGGATTATATTGGAAGTTCTGTGGTGGTGAACCGAACCTCACGGAGGAAAAGGTATGCAGAACACAAGAGCCATCGAGGGGAATATTCTGTATGTGACAGTGAAAGTTTATGGGTCACGGACAAGTCATCTGCTATCGATATTAGAGGACATCAAGTCACTGTGCTGGGAGAAATTAAAACGGGCAATTCTCCTGTCAAACAATACTTTTACGAAACAAGGTGTAAAGAGGCCAAACCTGTAAAAAATGGCTGCCGTGGCATAGACGATAAGCACTGGAACTCCCAATGCAAAACATCCCAAACGTACGTAAGAGCACTGACGTCAGAAAACAATAAACTCGTAGGCTGGAGATGGATAAGGATAGACACTTCCTGTGTGTGTGCATTGTCAAGAAAAATAGGAAGAACTTAAGTTTGCGTCTCTTTGCTATATAAATTATTACTTTAAATTATATGATATGCATGTAGCATATAAAATGTTTATATTGTTTTATATATTATAAGTTGACCTTATTTATTAAACTTCAGCAAACCTACAGTATATAAGCTTTCTTTCTCAATAAATATGAGTAAAGGGTGTGTGCCTGAGCTGTGGGCATCTCCTGTTTTATTAGAATATGTTTGTGACACTGCTTATCAGCAGAATACCATAATCTTCCTGTAAAATCTGTGTAACATCAGTATTTTGCATTCAGTATTGTCAAGCCAGTGACTGTCATTTAGTAAACTTGTTAAAAATTGGATGAATGTCAAGAGTTGTGTACACATTTATCTCCCCTGCTCTACATTTTCCATGTTTAATTAAAAGAAGTGCTAACTCCTTGCCACCAAAACAAAAACAAAAAATGATGCAGCATAGCCTACAGCTAATAACATTCCAGGCGATGAGTAGCCATAAAATACATTTTCTGTATGTTATGCCAGTTTTGTCATTGTAAATACAGTGGGGGAGGGTTCCTCCTCTGCTAGCGTTCCAGAACCACTACTAACAACCCAACAAGTTTTGTTTAGTTTTTTGAAGCACGTTTGTTTTGTAACTGTTTTTAATGCTGCCGATTTCTCTTAAAAATAATAGGGAAAAAATCTTAAATATTTGTAACAGAGCTTTACTGAATCCAAGAAGCAATCTAAGTAGATCATTAATATAATTCATAAAAGATGATTTCTTCAGAGTATACTATTTATTGTGATCAGCCTCTTCCTCTTTCCCTTTTTGTCCAATAACCCAGTAACTGCTGCTGCACTGTTATATTCTTTTTAGCTGGGTTTTTTTAATTAGAAAAAAGCCAATTACTACCATGAAAAGAACCCTGAGCTCTAGCAAAGAACAAAAGTCCTGGAACATATACCAATGTGGCACCTTTCTTCAAAGGTGTAATGCAGTTCAGCTACCTGCTGCCAGTTGTTTGTGGAGAAAGATATCTGGAAAACTGCTTGACGAAGCTGCCATTTATCTGGGGGCTCATGTGTCTTGACTGTGCTGTGTGCAGTTAATAAGCAGGTTGTCAAGTAATCAACCATCAAAACTATAATAGTGTCACACAGGCAACTGTTACATACTTCATGCAGACATTTCTAAATTGTAAGCACAAATCTATTCTTTATACCATTATGTAGATGCTACATATATATGTGTTGGGCAGGAACTTCAGTGAGCATAAAATGGAGCAGCTTTGTTAACAAAAGTAGAACTACAGAATTTACACCAACTGAAGACACAGGCTCTCCTTTGTTAGCCACATTATGCTGGACTCGCTGCCCATTAAAGCTATGGAAGGCTTTTTTGTGGGGGGAGGTTTATGGATACCAGTGGGAGTAAGATCAAAGTTCCCCTTTATCTGGTTATGTATTCTTGCATAACCAGAGTCAGAAACTGCCCCCAGTTTGATAGGAATCAGAACTGCCACAAGTTATAGCCAAAATTCTTAAGTTACAGCTTTCTTCTTAAAGCTAATCACTACCCTAAATCAAAGCCAGAGCCACAACACCCAAACAGAAGATGGCATGACAGCCAGGGTTCAAATTATGGGCTGAGCCCCACCCCACATAAGAGACAAGAGCCCCCCACACACACACACACAAGATGAGAGCCCTCCATAAGCCCCTCATAAAAGACGAGAGCCCCCAGCCCACCGCATGCCTTTCTAAGCAGCTCAGGTGGTGGTGGCGGCGGGAGCTCCTTCCGGCTTCCAGCTACTACCACCACAGACCCCTGCAAGAGTCAGAGTGTAATTTGAACCCTGATGACATCATTGCAACTCCCATCTTTCACTGCTTTAGACTAAATGTCAGACCCTCAAAAGGTCACCAGAGGAAGTTAGCTGTGTTGTCTCATCTAAACCCTTACAGCATTTCACATCAAAAAGCTACTTTAGAACTGAACTAGATTACTCAGGAGGGCAAGCATTCAAATTGCATCACATCGCATTGGTAGGCCTAAACAAGGAAGACAGTGCACACAGCCTGCCAGCATTTTTATATATATATATATATATATAGTTCCTATTACATGCCGGATCTCATAAAAACTCCCAATTCCCACTGAAGCAAATGGAGGGTCAGGGTACTCATTTTGCAGGAAGTATTCAGCACCTTGCAGAAGCAAACCCTAAACTCGCTTCTTAACCTCAAGCACCAATTAACTTAGTAGCTCCTTACCATGGCCATCATTAAAGCATCAGATGTGGTTTATACAGTGAGCAGCTCAGTACCCAATAAGGTCAGTTAGTATTTCTCCTCCCTTCTACTTCTTTAGAAAATTTCAACAGAAGGCAAGCAATTTTATTT